GGCCACTCTTCCTGGGATCTCCCCTAAACAGCTGATGTGTCAGTGTCCTGAGTTATGGAACACACTGGACATTCTGTCTGGCTTTTACTGTTTTACAGTGCGTCCAATTTACAAGTATTAGAATGCCTTCCTCTGACCCTCCGTGGATCTTTATCTTACTGTAGGGTAAATAAATCATGTTCTAGACACTGCGCTGAACAGATTCAATTTGTCTTGATAAAAGATGGCACTTGGAAAACGGGCAGCGTGGTGTGCTAGTCAAGAGCCTGACAACTGACCTCCCTTTGACCAGACTCCACCTTCACTGCTCACGGACAGTGTGACCTTGTGAAGTGACTGCACTTCTCCAAGCCTCTGCTTCCCCACCTGTAAAATGTGGCTAACGGGGGTGCCTACCTCACAGGGCTTTTATGAGGATTCTATGGGAAAATTATAAAGTAACTTCTGTAGAAGTTTTTATTAAACAAGTAGACATTTCTGACATAATCATGAATTCAATGGTTTGAATTTTGTAATTTTGATGATATAAAGAGAAACAGAAGTTAGGAAATTTATTAAACACAGGAATAGACAGTTATACTTCACTGAGGAACTACCATGTGCCCAATGCTGACCACACACTTGACATCCATTGTTTCACGGAAGTGGTCTGCGCCCAGGCAGCTGACAGTTAACAAACACACACTGAAAGCCCACTGTACGCTGGGCACTGGGTGGGGGGATTGTAAGTGAAGAGAATACAATCCCTGTCCCTGAGGAGTTCCCGGCATGGTTGGCGTGCTCGAGCGGCGTCAGGCAACCTTGCTATCTCCTTTGGCTCAATCATTGGCAAAATGAGCACATCCAACGAGGTGACTCCTAAGGTTCCTATTTCGTCTAACAATGAATGATTTCACACGCACACCGGACTAAGAGATCATGACACCTATTGATAATTCCCATGCCTTTTAAGTTTTGCCACTTATTTTCCACTTGTGCTAAATGATGATGTAGATGATCAATAATATAGTATTTTGGGAGGTCTTCGAGGTCAAGTTCTTTGGACTGGCTGCTAGAATGTGCTGGCAGAAGCAGAAGCCCTTTACAGAGCCAAGGCAAAGCCTGAAAGACAAAACCCTAGTGTCCAAACAGGAAGATGCCCTTCAGTATTAAAGGACACCTGAGTCAGCACATTCGTTTCCATGCTGACCCCCAGGAGCAAGATGATGTGGTCCCTGGCTGCCTGGGCATCCAGTTCCCAACACCTGCGCTCGGGCTTTCTGTGCTACCCCTCATGTTATCAAACTGCCTAACAGACTAGGCTCCAGAGCCTGACCGCCTCCACTCAAAACTCTGCTCTGCCTCCTTAGAGCTGTCAGATCAAGCTGCTGAGCCTCTCTCCTCCCCTGTGAGGTTGGTGTCCTAACAGCAGCGACCTGCCAAAGGATTAAGTTAGATAGCACTTACTAAGAGCAACAACGTAGTGTCTGGCACAAAATGAACCTTCAATGACTAACAACGATGATGGTGGCAAACACGCACGTGAAGCACCTACGATGCACCAAGCTCCATTCTAAGCACTTTACATTCATCACCACGTTTAATCTTCACAACTATCCTATGAATAGGTAGGTATAGGTAGGTTTCCTGAGTGACCCCAGGAAACTGCAGCACAGAGACTGAGAAACCTGGCACAATAGGTAGCACAACGCAAATCTGTGCCCAGAGCAGCCGCCTCCAGAGTCTGAGCTCTTAACCACTACGTTGTGGTGTGGGGTCACTCGTGGCTTTCTGTGGCCAACATCGAGTCTTCCTAGGGGTCAGAGGCCACTATACACGCCTCATGTGAATTCACCCCACCGAGTTTTCATGCCAGCCTATGACACAGACGTTAAGTTTCTATTTAATGTTCACATGAACACAACACGGAGCTAAAACAGAAAGTGGAGACCATAAGAGGGGCAGAGTCGTCAGCTACAGGGCAATGAGAAGAGAGACAGGGGCTGAGCACACAGCACTACCAGGAAACTGCTCTAGGCAGAAACATCAGTGGACACCTCAGATAGGAGAGAAATTTGTGACTGGATCACACAGGTGGGCAATAAAGCTAAGGAACCATTTTGCCAGCTTCAGAGTTTTGCTGAAGAGCCAGATCACCATGGCAATTAGGGGAGAAAGTACTGTGTAGCAGAAGGGGTGGGGTTTTGAAGTTAAGCACCATTTCTTTTACTTACTAGTTGTGTGTCTTTCAGGAAGTCACTCCACTTCTCTGAGCCTTGGGTTTTATTGTACAAAAATAAGAGCTGTTTTGAAAATCAAACAAGATGTTTAAAGTGCCAAGCACAGTGACAAGCACACAACAGACGTGTGGTAAGTATTAGTTCCTCTGCACAGGACGGTCCTCGGACAGGCCTCGCAGTAGGAGTAAACCACATGCTCCTCCACTTGGGGGAAAATGAGGGGAGAGGTGTAAGCTTGCTGTCCTGCCCAGCAATGAATGCATGAGTATCCTCGTAAGAGCGAAGAAGAGCAAAGTCACTTCTCTTCCGATTTACATCTGGGACACAGAAAGCCTAGTTGGACGTTTGTCCAGACAGCTGTGATTGACGGACTCCTCCAGCACCTTGGGGAGGACGCAGGATGTAGGCCGACAGCAGCAAATCCTGGCTGTCCAATCTTGGGTAAATCGCCAAGTCCTCAGAAACACTCTCAGATGACATCATTCTCTTGGTTCGTGATTACTCAGAGGGTTTGATTATAGTGTGAGCCTTTGAAAATCCGAAATTATTGACTACTCCAGGCGTACAAAATAATCACTCTTTCCTATTGGCAATATTTTTAAATCCCTGCAGGAAATGCTAAACTGTCATCTTGTTGATTTCCTTTGTACCTTCACCTCAACTTTCTCCAATAAAACACTGGTTAATACCACACTCATTTTCAAGATCTTCACTGTCAGTAAATTATTATTTGTGGAATAGAATTATAATTCTAAAAGGATATGCTTTACACTGTGATTGATGGGAAAATATGCTCCGAACTTGAATGGAAAGACCAATTTTCTGACACTTCAGCTCTATTTGCTCAAATGCATTACTGTTATAAAGCACCAATTACAGCTAATAATGGCATTATTCTCACCTCAGTAAGTACTTGGTTTGGTAAAGCCCTAAGAACTCTCAACTTTGGCAATCAATTTAGTTAACTACGGGAAATAGCCTATTTCATATAGATTATTACCTTAATGTTGCATTGCTCCCTAAGCTCGCACATGCTCAGAATGAATTGTCACTCAAAACACATTTAAATATACCTCTCATTATTAGGCTTGGCAGATTAAACACACTCTAGAAGCCACATTTGTATAATATCACAGTTACTGATGTTTGAGTTCATATTCTCCACAGTCCTAAATCTTTCAGTTTCTATAAATTAACTTCATGCCGAACTAGGTAAAAGTAACAAAAATACTCCAAATAGGGGGATATAAGAGTTTCAGTTCAGCTCCAGTGGGAAGGTAGGGAATTCTGTCTCACTGTCTGGGCCCCCTGTTCCAACCATCTCTCCGGCCAGAACCCGGGGGTACTCCAGGCTGTCTTTCAACACCTCAGCTCCCACCTCCAACAGGAGATGGTCAGATGCGTCAGTTCCACCTTTTAAATGTCTCTTGAAACTTTTTACTCTATTCTATCATCCTACCTTCAGTCTACCTTCATTTAATATTGCAATATAGAAGCTTTTCCATTTTCCAAGTTTGTGAAACACAAAATAAAAGCACCACAGAACATGGGCATCAACATATGGCGACTGTGGGAACTCGGATTTAAAACCAAATGGACCCAGGACCCTAAACTCTGAGAAAATTTTCCCATGATGCTGCATCCTCACCCGAGCAAGCATTTAGACCACAAATCTGATCACATCTCTCCTTAAGACATTTCTCTGAATTGTATCTGTAAAAAAAAAAAAAAAAAGTCCAAGTCCAAAAAGTGTCTATTGAGTCTAATTCAGAAACAAACTAACGTGTTCCACTCGTCTAAAGCAATGATTTTCAACCTGTGTGCTGCAAGAATTTCTATGTGACGATGCATAGAGTGTTAAGGACAAAAAACTAATTTTATAACTCAGAAAAGGCAAATACCCACTATCCTATTTGGGAGTGTCACATGAAAACCTTACTGTTAATTGTGTTATGGTCACTTTTCTTCTTCAAACGAGATGCATTTTTTTTCCTTACCATTGAAATTACTTACTTTTGACATCAGGAGAAAGTACAGCCTTCTAAGGGAATCAGATCAGTGCCCTCTACACACTCACTAATAACTTAAATTGCTTCTCTTGCTAGCATTGCTAGAAACCTCTAGGGGGGGAAAAAACCAAACCTCAAATTAACTCCAGAAATAATTCTGCAAAGATCTGCTTTTCATTTGAACTTCAACAGGTAAATATTCAACCAGTATAGTGGCCCTAAGACTAAAAGAAAGAAAAAATTTTCAAAGCAGCATCAACACAAATTCTTAAATAAGAAAACCTGGCTCCATTCCCCTTACTTACACCTTAGCCATGTGGTGGCAAAGAGAACGCCATTCCCCTCAAAGCCAGGAGGCCCCCATTAACCATGTCAACGGGCTACCGGGTACGAATAGACACAAAAAATTCTTAGAGAATCCCCAACACCTCACAAAACCGCTCATAATCACTACTAAAATTTGGGAACATTCAACACTTTGAATTTCCCCACTATTTCCTCCTGCATTATTTACTCAAAGTGCGTGTGAACTACAGGCAAGGGAGGGGACGCATACATGATCGTGAAGTAGGAAATGTCTCTAACCAGCCTCTGAGGAACTGAGGTTAGATAAAGGCCATCCTCATGTGTAATGTGAACAGAACTTTTTTAACCAAAACTCCAGGTTGCAGATATTTTGAATCTTATGACCGCTGCTTTTTTACGATCCTCCTTGTCCCACACGCCCCCTTCACCCAAGGAGAGCTACAGAATCTTGTGTGGTTTTACTTACAATTGTGAAGTTCATGACTTTGAGAATCCAGATGGTCATGGCCAAGTTCACCAGTATTAAAATCATCAGGAGCAGGACAAAGAAATACAGGCATCTTTTCCGCCAGCCATAAATCCCCACTTTGTACACCTGTGGCCCCCCGGAACCAGGCATGACGCTCCGGTGGTGTGTGTACTGTTCCTGAGGCATCTGAAATAAACGAGGTGAGAGAGTAGCACTCACATTAAACTTCTGAGAGAGGAGAGAAAAAGGGAAAAGTTCGTGAATTTTGATAAAGAGATATGGCTGGCCACTGTCTATACGTTTCCACCCTCTTGACGACTCTCTGAAAATCCTTTCTCTGGACAAAGCAGTTTTTCTGGATGCTTGCTTTAGTCCTCTCCATTTACGGAGCCATCTCTCATGATGCGTATTTAGACATCCACGTACACACATATCATGGGAAAGAAAGGACCCCTAGGAAGCCATTTTCCAAATGTTTCTTAGACTCCAACATCTTTGTGTGGGACACACTCTAGATCTGTGAAAGTCCTGAGGGTAAAATGTGGAATTTGTCAGAGAAAATAAAATAACCCCAACAGTTCACTGGTATAATACTCTTCAGACAATTTATTTGAGAAGGGGGGATAGTGACTTTCAGTGCAACCATTCTTATTGCTAGAAAGTCAGTTGCAAAAGTAATACTTCTGATCTTCTCTATATTTGAAAGTTCAAAGGGGTGCTGATGGGCAGAGACGATGCCTCACTTGACCCAGGAATATTCAACAAGTGATAGCCTGTGCTTACATGCTCCCTTGACAGAGAACTCACCACCCATAAAGTTATTCCTTATATATCAGACAATTCTAATTGGTATCAATCAACTCATTTCTTTAGTAAACATAAAGGAGCCCCAAAGTCAAGTAAGGTGTTAAAACATGCCTTTTAGGGGTCAACAGGCTAATGGGAGGAATGAATTAGTTAAATAGTGATTTTGTCAATATTAAGTAATATGTCAACCCCCTTTAAAGTAAGAATGCTTTCCCAAATCACCCCTGTTGATTAAAATTATCTTTATACCAGCACTGCTAATTAGGTACCAACACTAATCTAAGTAAATTTATCACCTCCATAAAATTATCAATACAAACAAAGCTACAACATGTATCATTCAAAACAGAAATAACTGACTGCTACAAAGGAAGATGATTTGCTAAAATTAAACTGCATAGTGTGGTACCAAGGGCTTTAGCACAGCATCTCCTGAGCATGTCATCCCTATACTGCCATGACCCATGTGACAACAGGACCGCTGCAGAGTTTCTCCATTCAAACTACTGCACGACCTTTCCGCGGGCCTTTTCCCTTCATTCGGCCCTCATGCAGGAGCATGTCATTCCCTGGGACGAAGGCTGGCTTCTGTTTACTTTCACCTTACTCAACAGCAATTACACCGGTGACATGTAGTGCCAAAGTGACCATGGTGACAAAGAATGTGGGCCCCAAAATCACATCCTTGGCTATTAGGTCCTCTTCCAGATAGTTCACATTATCATTTTATGGTTTTCAGATCATCATTAAAGTGTATGCATAAAATCTGAAAACCCCTCCGGAGAGCTCACAGACTTTAGGCATCCGTGAAATTCCACTTGAGAAACCAAGTGAGTTGTTCCTTACGGTCAACAGAAATGCTCATCAGAGGCCTACGTGATGCCTGTCTCATCCTGAACACCACCCGAGCACTGAAACCAGGCCCTACTATGTTTAAATGTAGGTCTATGGAATGAGTAAGTGAAGAGGTGCATGTATAAATGATGAATGAATGAATGATTTCCCATCCACTATGAAATCAGCTGCTGTCTGGGGGTGCACAAAAGTTGAAGCCAAACACCATGGGAAGTTCTTATTTGAATCTTTGCAAATTTCCTTTTGAGGCTCCCAAAAACACTGGGTCCCCAACTAAGCAGTGAGGTTTATGCTATATGAAAATCTCTGTTTTATTACTCAGCTCCTTACAGTTCTGTAGATCAGGGCTGTATTGTAACAACATAGGAACATTACAAAGTCATTGCTCACTGGTCTTTTTATGAAGATTAATTAGAAGGGGAAAAAAGTGCCTTGTAAGTCTAAAGGAAATCAGGCCTTGATTTTCTATTAAATCATTTTCTGTAAATTAAGGAAATGATCACAGAGTCTTAGAATCATATGTGAAATATTCTTTGATTACAATCCACCAATTTTATGAATGACCTGATTTAAGAGCAGCGAAGTTGACCCATTTGTGCATGGCTACAGGTTTTGTGGCAGGGTAAGGACAAAATTAGCAGTCCTTGGCTCTCGTAGGTATGGCAAACAGCAAGGAATCCGTCCCGCTTTAGTGTACAGGAGCTACAGATATGGCCATCACGCCAATGTTCTTTCCTTCAACATTCACCCCAATCAATGGGAGAGTTACAGTAACTCAGCTATACAACAGAAATGCCATGTTCAATCAACATCAATAAGAGACCGGGGAGATGGATATCACATGTGTGATTTTTGTTTCATACACAGATTGGTCGAACTTGCCAGCAATCAGTGATGACTTCTGCTAGGGGTTCTCAATCCTGATGCCCCTCAGAGGTACCTGCGGAGTTATTCAAAACATCTCCACTCGGGTCTGTTAAATAGCAGTTACAAGGACAGAACGCAGGCGCCAGCATTTTAAAAGCTCCCCAGATGTCCTAAAGTGTAGACAAGGTTGCATACCACTGGTATAGAATAATGTCTCTCAACACAGTACATTTCAAAAGAAACTCTGAACAAATACAAATTCAAATTCTGAGCTCTGTGATGGAATTACTGGGTTGGCCAAAAAGCCCATTTAGTTTTTTCTGTAAAATAAGACACATTTTTCATTTTCACCAATAACTTTATTGATTTGGATATTTTGAGTATGTTGGCTATCTCCCATGTGGAAGAACACTGATTGTTCTCAATTAATTCTCTGTTTGAGCATTATCAACTTCAACTGGTCTACCCCGCCATGGAGCACTGTCCAGCAAGAAATCTCCAGCATGAAACGTCACAAACCACTGTTGATAATTTTAATCAGTCACAGCACCTTCTGCATACACTGAACAAATCTTTTTTTTTATGTTTTTACCTTCCTTGAAATAATAAAGCATATTCCAAAAATGTTGCATATTTTCTTCCATCTTCAATATTAAAACAGTTACACAAAAATTCACCAATTTTGAGGTTTTCTTAAATGCACACTGATATGACAGTGGTCATAGTACAATCTAACAAAATTGTTGTGAATGAAGTTAAAGACAACTAAGCGCTACCTGAGCCACCTCATGGAAGAAAGTAACGAACTTCTTGGCCAATCCAACACAGCTATTAAAAAGACTCCCAGGTCACTGTGAGTACTTGGGGCAACTTTTCTTTAAAAATGGCTTTCATTTTTTTTTCACAGTATAACCATTTCAAGACAACAATATTGAAACAAACTCTAATCTAGCATATAATACAGCAAGAAAGCAGAGGTCCTCTGCTTAAAGCAAGAATGACACATTCACTACTCTTGAGGCACCTCTGCAGAATCCTCAGACTCCCAGAAACCACCAATTTTGCCTGACACATTTACTAGCTAAACTGAGTTACTCAAAGCCGAGAAGGGAAAGTAGTTCTCCGTCAAGTCACAGTGAATCGGAAGCTGAGCAGGGATCAGAGCTTAGATCCTCTGGTGCCTGGTGTAGTGGCCTTTTCTACATGTCACGAGGGTCCCTGTATCTCCACCACACCCCCTGCTTAATTTCACGAGCTAAAGGAAGCAACATACTTGAATCTGAAAGCTCTGTCATAAAGATAGATTGACAGATCAACCAATCGATCGATAGATAAGTAAGGAACAGGGAAGGCAGTGAGCAATTTTCTAGATGACTGTAACAGGAAGTCTTGTCAGCTAGACATAATGGAATGGATACATCTGTGGTCAATAACCCTGGGAAGGGAAAATATAGATATGCTGAGTATATTAATTTTTCTAGTAAAAAACCAAAACATGTTAAATGATAAAAACGTAAGAGGAAAGACAATCTACAGTCTGCGTTTCTGATTCTTCCCAAATGACATTTGCTGTCCAGGGAATGAAGCTGACGTTTCAAATCCTCCCTTGCCCAAGCTCGTTCCTTGGCCCTGGGAAAGGCCACAGTAATGCATTAACAATATCAAACATTTTTATAAAATTGACTTAAGAAAGATGTTTTCACTACAACTAGCTAAGACCCTGTCTTTAAAGTGCATGGCTTTGGAGAAATTACATGCACTTTGGAGGTGTAACAGGAAGTTAAATTGGAAGTTCATAGTTTGGGTGTAGTGGTACATATTTATTATATATGGTTTGCAGACACTTCCAATTATATGATAGCAGACTTTTTCCCTTCCTCTACACCAAACATACATCCAAAACTCCCAAAAGTTGAGTAATTTGGCAAAATAACTCTCAACCACTATAACCTGTCCTCTTAGGAGGCTTGCATCTGTGGAAGTGTACCAGACACGTGAATTTTCGAAAGGAGTCCCTCTATCTAAATACACCCTGTTCTTGTGAACTATAAGACAGAAATGTGTATCATCAGACTTTGGGAACAATTTTACATTGTTATACAACATATTTTATAGTCACATATGTAATCCCTCTGAATGTATTCTAAACTCTTCTAAGTTTTTAAAATTTTTCCAAACTTTAGGAGCACCTAAACAATGATGTATGTGTATATGCATTTGATTTAATTCTGTATATATGTATGTATGTATGTATCTATCTATCTATCTACCTACCTACCTATCTGTCTTAGCATACATTTGTTCAAGGAATGAATAAAAATCAAGCCAATGCTAAATGGCAATGCACATACTCCAGCAATAAGTAAACAGCTGTAAGATCAGAAGCAAAGGAATGCAAACTTACACAATGTGCCTCCCTTTCCAAAGGCACATGCAATTACACTGATGTTAAGTAGGCTTAAATCCAAAGCATTACTTCACTCTTTCATGAAGCTATTTTCAAAGTTCCCCTGTTTAGGAGCAAATACGGTTGACTTGAAGATAATTTCTCACACACAAAATGCTACAGCACTATATTTCCCAAATAGTGAACATAGTGAAACTTTCTGTTGCTTTGCCATTAGGTAGGAAGAACTACCCAGAGTCAAGGCAATGTC